ACGTGGAACAAATAGGCAATTTGGCAAGCACTACACACGCATACACACACGCCGACATACCAGTGTCAAAAGGGGCGGCCTTTGTGACAGGTTGAATAGCGTGTACTGAGGGAGAGGGGTGGCGCAAAACAGATGGAGAACAGCGGAGACACGGGCAAGCGAATGGAGGGAATCATCTTGATGTCAAGTTAGATTCACGCAAGCAGGGATTTTGTTTCGTTTCTGTTTCGTTGTATGACAAAGCTGAACCAGCCAAATTGTTGCCTGAATCTCCACCTGATTGTGTTCCGATAGAGTACAAACGTTGTAATCCGTGAGATGTAATTTGTGGACACTCTGAAATGACAACGGGGATCGGTCATTCAATTCTTTTGAGGTGGTGTCAGATACTAAAGAAAAAGCGATTAATGAAAAAAACCTGAGTTGTTCTGCTAATTCTGTCCGGTATAGCAGTCACAATTACTGCCCATTTTTGGTGTTATCCAACAGTGGTTTTGATCTCTTCTGAAATATTCAACACCATTTTTTTCATGGAACTGTTTCAAAACAACAGAGCATCAATCGTGTGTTTCCTCACGCCAGCGTTTTACTTGGAAATCCATTCTTAATATAATATAATAATATACAAAAAACTACTATTTCTGAAGAATAATGTCGCATCGTGAACTGATGGGAGATAGTGAAGTAGGGATGGTTTTTGTGCAACCGTTTTTGGACAACCAAATAGTTTGGTTCTACGTTTACACAGGGACTTGTGTGTTCATATCGGGGTATGAAATGTCTGAACAGAAAAGAGATCACCTTACTGGACGGGTGATATGTGACTCTGGACAACAGAGGACCATGTGATTTGGCGATCGACCTAACATCGTCAGATGGAAGATAAGGCTTTCAGTTGGGAGTAACCATCAACTGATGGTGGTCGTTGGCTTGTTCGCTGAGACAACAGAGGTGTGATTTGGCGATCGACCTAACATCGTCAGATGGAAGATAAGGCTTTCAGTTGGGAGTAACCATCAACTGATGGTGGTCGGTCGTTTGTTCGCTGAGC